ATAACTTGTCACCTTAGTGTCGGTGCAAGAAGGTGGATATTTACCTTGCCGCTTCCCAGCTCGGTAAATATCATCAGATTATCAACTTATTAGATAAAATTAAGTTTGTAATACCTCCCAACAACGCCGGGAGCACAATAACTTTCTTAGATGCCCATCCCCTTTTTTCAATAAAATTAAACAGTCTTTCTTCTCGGCTGAGTTCTAATGATGGGCATTTGCTAAGCAAAGAATTTCACGACAAAATAAAAACATGCGAACAACTGTAATTGCAAAATTATTGAGACGTTTGTTGAACTTTTTATAACAGCGTTGCACAACGCATGGCATTGAATTTACGTGGAATGGACTGACAGAGAAAATGTCGCCATTTTTAAATGACATTCCCGAAATGAATTCAAGCAGTAAGTAACAATTTTACATGTTTGGAAAGCCACCCATCCTATTAAAGCGACAACTGAGCATGCGATCTTATGCTCTAGCTCAGTGTTTCAGCAGCCTTTGTTATTAAGTCTTCCCAAGAACTGGGCTCTCAACTCTTCGACATGATTAGCATAATCCGGTAGATTGGTGACACGAGTAGACAAACTTATCTGGTGTCAGCTCGATTACACAAAAAATTCTCTGGGCTAATTTACCACGAATTATGTAGCAACTGGAGGAAAAATTACTTCTCTGAAGTCGAGAATGAAAGAATCAAAGCAAAGGCCATTACAACTGATCCTAGATAAGCATGACAAAAATGGATTTCTAGATAAAAACCATAAAGAAACACTGGAAAGTCAACAGACGGGAAAAAATGGGCAACATGGGGTCAATTTAAACAGGTCCTACATAAAATTAATGAAACTAGCCCGTTTTTATCAAATTTAGTTCACGATTAAATTGAATAAAGGCACCACACTTGTTATGCTTTCACAACATTCTCTCTCTGTAACCGGATGTTCGGGCTCCCCACTGAAGTGAATGCTGGTGATCAATGATGACCTTCAAACAAATATGTCATAGTGAATTCCTTACAAACACAAGTAATTAAATAAATAAATGAGTAGGTCAGTAAGAACGTTTGTAATATAGTGTTAAAGTATCTAGGTTGAGTGGACAGGAAGCAGGACTTATTTTCCAATTATTTTTATGAATTTCAGGAGTGCCTGGAAAGCACTATTACTACCTAAACGTCGATCGCTGTGCATATGGTGGAGCAAACAAGCTATCCGCTCAAAGCTATGGCATTATCAACAACCATCAGATTTGTGGTCCGATTATTTTCGGTGTAAATAGTAACTGCTCTGCTGTTTATTTCTATCAGGATAAGCCACGTGCAGGTTGGAAAATATACAAGTCAGTTATGAAGTATAA